ACTGGACAAATTGTAACAAATTCTGTGTTTGAAACGTTGCAGGAAAAGCCACATTTTGATGAATAGGACCTGGACGAATGAGACTTTTGGCCACGGGAGGAAGATGACTGCATCTGAGAAATTCCCGAGGCCCAGTAAATTCTTTTTCATAATACGAGAGTCCGGTCCCAACAAACTTAGTTGTAAATATCTTTCCAATTTCTTTTAAGTTGTATACAATTAAACTTAGTATTAATAATTAATTATGACATAATCATAAAGAGTATTACTACACTTAAGTATACGGTGTGGCATGTTGACAAACATAAAATTATATTTAAATTATTTATTAATCACTGTACTAATTATATCTTGTAGCATATTTTGTTTTCCTCAAGACAACTTTGTTAAATTAACTTGTTCTAATTTTCATTGACATATCTCATTGTAATCACCAAAATATATTTATTATTAAGATTCTTTTATTTTCATGTATGCAAAGTTGTAATTTAATAAATAAAAATGTACGAATCTATCAATTCTAAATACTAATTTCAAGGCTTAGACCGTGAGGCCACTGCGATCGGATCTCTGAATACACTTCATAGCCCAGTTCTGTGTCTTCCGTCTGATAGAATGGTTACACGGGAAGGGCAACTAAACGTACAATTTTAAGTTTGTCGTGGCCAAAGTACCCCGTTTTGGCCAGTCGGGCATTTAAACTCCGCTAGTTGAAGTGCGCGCACACGCCGCTAGTAATAGCGCATGCAGTCCTAAATATTTATTTTTGAACTAGCTGTACCCGGCCACGCGTTGCTGTGGCCCAGTCTGGTTAAATGGAAAAGAAAGAAAAGAGAAAGCGCACGTTTCTAATATGTTTAATTTCACAATGCTTGTGGGTATACAATATTTTCTGTTGTTCCATTGTCTGTGCAGATATAGAGACTGTCTGGTTTGCCGACTCTAGAACACGCAACATATAATTGTCCATGTGGGAAGCAATCCGTGTCTAGATCTAAACTGCACAGTTCTAAAGATTGGCCCTGAGTTTTGTTGTTGGCGATTGCAAACGCCAATTCCTTTCGTTTCTCCATTAAATTTAAGAGCCTTGCAATAAGGACACACTTCTGTCATAGTGCCGATGAGAACATGCCGGCTCAAACTATAATCTTCAGCTGGGCTGTACCGGAATGCAAGGCGATTGTAATCGCGTGATTGCTGAGCACGGAGTCGTGTTTGACGCTGATCTGCTGTTTCTCGTTGACGTCTTTCAGCCACTCTCAGCCTGTCGCGTTCAATCTGTTGAGAACGAAGCAGATCTGAAGCTGCAGAACGCGTTCGCCGTGCTCGCAACCGTGCATCCTCAAGTCTGGCTGCACGTCGCTATGCTGCTTCCTCGGCACGTATTTGAGCCATTCTTTGCCTGTTTCGCTCTTTCGCTGATGCCCGTTCTTCCCCAGTTTGATTTGCAATTACTCGTCGCACTGCTTCCGCTCCGCGAGCACGACGACCTAAGTTTGATCTTCCGCGAGGCATTATTTGGATGAACTAAAGCAGATCGATTGCACTGAAGAAGAAGAAGAAGAAAGTTATAACAAAAACATATAAAATTGCAGAACGTTAAAAAAGAAAGAACACGAACTGGAAAACAAAGAAGAAACGAAAAAAAAATACTAACGAAATATTTCAATTCAAACGCAAATGAATGCTATGGTAAACGACACAGCTCAATTCCAAAGCAATGTCACATGAAATAATTAAATCAAAATGAAAATAAATCGAAATCTATGAAAATCCAGTTTAACAATGCAATCGGAAACACTGAAATGGAATCGTAAAATATTTAGTATAGCGTGTGTTTGCTTTTACGTCCAACAGATGGCACTGTTTTTCAAGCGCGTATTCGAATGCAATGTTGTGTCAAAATTTCAAAGCAATCGGTGAAGAGAGTACAATTATTATCACGTCCAGTATCACCAAAAAACTCTTCGGAGCTGGACTATTATAACCTGGCTTCGGACGCAATAGAGGGTACTTTCGCCCAGGGTTCGTTTTCACTTGTTCTGTGCTCGTTGCCGCAGAAATGCATTATTTCCGCTGTTTCAACAGTTCGTTGTCACGATTATTCTTAGGCAACGATCTGTTGGTATTTCATTTGTCGCTGTGGAAACTCAACAATTTCAATTGTAGCCGTTACGTTACAGTATATTAATATTGAGTACAATTAATATTTTAACAACCAATCAACCTGTCACAGGTATGACATGTATATAATAGTTATATAAAAACACGCGCGTATTCGAATGCAACGTTGTGCCAAAATTTCAAAGCAATCGGTGAAGAACTTTCGGGGATTTAAGATCCTGAGCAAACGAACATTTACATTTTTATTTATATAGATTTAGTAATTACCAGACAGACTTGAGTAAAACCATAATAGAGAAATTAAAATGATACCTATGTGAATAACAAAAAGAGTATACGTATGAGTTATGCCCAAACTCATCCACGAGCCAGTACTTTTATTGCAGATTCTGCAGATTAATGTGTTAAAAATATACAGTAAAATTCGATGTACATACCTTTTTTGTTGTTATCTGCTTGATGCATATATAGGCTGAAATGAAACTACAATATTCGATTTCACTACAAACGCACAGAAAACAGATGGCACTCTGTATCTCAGCCAGGATGCAACTGTCTGTTCAAGCCCATACAGAGGGCAGTAATCTTTTGCAGCTATAACGGAAGATCTTACCACTGAAGAGGGGACCCCTCTAGCATTTCTTGAATAGTCATACTTTCATTCTCCTGTCCTTTAGTCAAAAGATTCGAAAATCTGAAGGCCGTAACAAAGATGTAAGGTTTTCCAGCAAAGAACCAAATGATTTTATTGCTTCCATCAATTTTATGGTAACAGGGACTGCTAAAATTTGTCAAGTGTCACAAACAGAAACGAGTTTATAATGCAGAATAACTTTGTGAAGAACTGGGAAACCAATTTTGCAGTACGCATCAAAATTAAAAGGAAAAAAATATATATAAATAGAGTATAAATTTTTGTATAAAATTTTCCAAATCTTCCGTTGTAATATGCGACAGTGTGTTCTTTGCTGATACAAACAAAGTTAATTCCATCCATTTATCCTAAAAATTGTGTTAGATACAGCGCTTTTAAACACAATGCTTAAAATTGTTTAAGCGCCCTAACAGGAATGGACATTTAAACGCAGAGTAGCAACGTGCATTTTTTTTAATAGCACTTCACTCAAATCCAACCCAAAGGATATGGGTGAAGTGATATTGAACTTACTTATGGAACTGAACCCTTCTTGAGAACCCCCCAGTTGTGCAGCCACTCAAGAAATTTCCAGCTTTTCATGGATCCCGAAGGTTCATTACTGTGTTCACAAGAGCCCTCCACTGGTCCCTATCCTGAGCCGGATCAATCCAATCCATATCATACCATCCTATCTCTCTAGGATACATTTTACTAGTGTCCACCCATCTACACANCCCTCTAGCATTTCTTGAATAGTCATACTTTCATTCTCCTGTCCTTTAGTCAAAAGATTCGAAAATCTGAAGGCCGTAACAAAGATGTAAGGTTTTCCAGCAAAGAACCAAATGATTTTATTGCTTCCATCAATTTTATGGTAACAGGGACTGCTAAAATTTGTCAAGTGTCACAAACAGAAACGAGTTTATAATGCAGAATAACTTTGTGAAGAACTGGGAAACCAATTTTGCAGTACGCATCAAAATTAAAAGGAAAAAAATATATATAAATAGAGTATAAATTTTTGTATAAAATTTTCCAAATCTTCCGTTGTAATATGCGACAGTGTGTTCTTTGCTGATACAAACAAAGTTAATTCCATCCATTTATCCTAAAAATTGTGTTAGATACAGCGCTTTTAAACACAATGCTTAAAATTGTTTAAGCGCCCTAACAGGAATGGACATTTAAACGCAGAGTAGCAACGTGCATTTTTTTTAATAGCACTTCACTCAAATCCAACCCAAAGGATATGGGTGAAGTGATATTGAACTTACTTATGGAACTGAACCCTTCTTGAGAACCCCCCAGTTGTGCAGCCACTCAAGAAATTTCCAGCTTTTCATGGATCCCGAAGGTTCATTACTGTGTTCACAAGAGCCCTCCACTGGTCCCTATCCTGAGCCGGATCAATCCAATCCATATCATACCATCCTATCTCTCTAGGATACATTTTACTAGTGTCCACCCATCTACACATTGGTCTTCCTAGTACTCTCTTTCCTTCTGGCTTTCCCACCAATATCCTATATGCATTCCTCGCTTCCCCATTCGTGCTACATGCCCTGCCAACCTCATCCTCCTTGACTAGTGATACTGAACACAGTTCAAAAATAGAAATAGGTTTGGGGGGAAACCTCTGCAGCACAAGAGATCTGGTTGTAAAAGATTTATTGCTATTCTAGCGAGCAAAGCACTGGGGGGGGGGGACACTCAAAATAGTTGCTATGTTAGCATACCTTCTTACCGACTGTACTCTCGGCCCTGTCTACCATTTTTAAATTTAGTTAAAGTAGGATGCGTAGAGATGGCAGCAGCATTGCACCGCGGTGTCATGGCGGTCATGGCAGCAATGGTCACCAGCGTCACCAGCATGCATGGCGGCGTATATGTGGTTAACGCAACCAGCTTTCTTCGCTTATTGTGTAGGACATGACGGCACATATGATGCATGTCACAATCTGACAAACGCTGGCGACAGCTGATAACCATAGACCACTGAAGCCACTGAATATCCTAATACAAAACTCTAGCAGCTCTGCGTACAATTGTTTCAAAGGACCACATATTGTATTGTTTTTACGGTTTTGACCGTTTTGACAGATGGCAGCCGTTTTAGGTCGACATAACCTTGAAGTCAGATGGTAGGAGTGTATTTCCTGGTGACGAGTTTTGTGTTGTGGGAGATATCGTGATTGATCGTGACCATCGTGACTCTGTATTCGTCACGCGACTAGTGAGTTTTGTCTTTTTTTTTTTGTAGTCACATGATGGTATTTTGCAGACGATTGTCAGGAAAATTACAATTCATGACTCTTAACATGTAGATCGTGTGACGCACTTTGTAAACAGAGCAGGTGAATTCTTTGTCGCAATACAAGTAACAGAGTAAATTAATGTTAATCGCAGTTATTTTGTAATTATTAGAACGGTTCATATTTTGAGTTTTGATGAAAAACATTCTTGTGGTAAGTGTGTATGCCACATTTCCAACATTATTTGTATTTCAGTATGAAGGCAGCAGTGCTTATCTCTTTACGTTTAATTTGTGAGAATTCAGTAAGTAATGAAGGATTTCGAAGCAAAGAAGAGTAAATTAAAGGCCACTTTTTCATTCATGAAAATCGCCTTCATATTCAGTGAAAAGTAAGACGACTAATGGAAGTAGATGTCATTGTTAGCGCGTAAGATGCCAAAGTGATATACTATAGTTAATTGTGTAAATTATAACTAAATTTATGATAAATTTAGGTTATAATAACTGGTAACAGTGGGGTTTGACTGAGCACTTTACAGATATTGGTGTGAAGTTTCATCACCAGCAGTTAATGAAAGTGATTTCCATGAGTTGAAAATTACTCTGAAAGTCTGCTGCAAATCACTCAACCAGTCCAATAGAAGATAGGTCTATTTCTTTCAGCATGTCTCTCCACTCATGATGGTCAGCAGCACAATTGACAACCCTATAGGCCAGTAAATGTTAACCACATCATAGCAGGTGGTGGAAATGGCCCCTGTTGTTATGCACACATTCCTTGCACCTCCATAAAAGGTTCACATTCATGTATTTAAACTCCCTTTCAGAACAGTGCAAACTTTAAACCTGAAATCTTGGGCTTTCCTGCAAGGTGTATAAGGTATTTTTGAGGGCATGTTCATACCTATAGCAGTGGGTTACAGACAGGACAGCCTGGGTTCGATTCCTGGCAGTGCACGATTTACCTCTTCTTGACAGAGTCAAGGCTGACTCTGATGTCCACCCAGCAATTCTCTAATTGGTACTAGGGGCTCTTTCTCCAGTGGTAAAGTGGCAGGGAGTGAAGCTGACCTCTCACCTCCAACTAGTCCTGAGGACCAGAAAGGTGGAGCTATAACTCCACTCCCCAATATGTCTTAAGGACATAGAGTTTAACCAGTTAAGCACAGGGGCAATTTTACCTTTATGTTCATACCTAGTCCCAATTTCAATGTATTTCTTCTCAGTGGGCATTCAGTATTTTTCTTCATTTCTTCGGTCCAATAATGATGTCACTCTAAATATATTTAGATCGTGCTGTGCATCAAGTTGTGTATGTAGATTCAGAGTTTTTATACTGTCATATAACATGTTGATTCTGTTGAATATAACATACATTGAATTGAATATATCAATAGATCAGTCAGTTTATTATGTTGAACACTGTATGTTTTGGTCATGGTTGACCATCATCAGGTTTATACATATATAATCATAAATATAGTGTTATATATTACTGAAATGGATCCATTTTGATTACATATTCAGCAGTAAATTTCAATATACTTATGATTATATATGTGCACACTTAATAATGGTTGATGACAACCAAAACATGTAGTATCTTTTGATCCATTCAAGTTAATCGCTTGTTATATACAACAGAATCAATGTGTTGTGTGTCAACATAAATACCACTGAATTGTGTGAATAGCTTTTATTTTTTTAATATTCAGAACTGTAACATTCTGAAATTTGTGCTGGAATCTTTTCACATGAATATCATACATGTGACATCTTAACACAGGATGTAATATGACTGACTGAACGTTTAATACAGTAGCAAGAACTGTGGATTATAGTCTACAGACACATGCAAAATAAACTTGCTTTGTGGTAAGTTGTTAAAAGATTTATTATGGTACTACTAGAGAAAAATTAAAGTATGTATAGGTTGTTTATCCTGTAAACTGTGCCATGAGTTCAAACATGCAGTGTGTGAGATGATGCGAGTAAAACCCATTCTCACTGCCTGACCATCTGAAGTATTGCAACAGGCTTTCAGACCACTTTATTCCTTGACCTTCTGGTCCATTATCCACTATTATCCAATGATTTGATTCTATATAGTGTGAGTTACTGACAGCATCATTAATTAAACAACAAATAAATAAATGAATAAAGAAATAATGTAGGATTTGAGGTTTTCACAACGGTGACAACTAAATGCCATCTTCTGGGATATGGCGCCCTCTAGATCTTGTGTGGACCAATGTTTCGGAGAAATGTATCACCTTCGTCTTCAGGGTAGAAATATCTGAGAGTGAGGAACCTGGAGATATAGGCGATACGTTCCTTCAAAATGTTGGTTCACACAAGATCTACATGGTGCCACATCCCACAAGTAGACATTTGAAGAAATAACGGATTACTGTATGCATCTGATGCTTGGTGGTAGGTACAAGAAATGATGTCAGCTGGACACGAAATATAAATATTATTCCAAAACATTATGAGCAAGGGTAACTCAGTCAGGAAAGAGACTGGCTACAGTTTCATCAGCAAAGATTTGGTTCCCAGGATGGACAGGAATTCTTCTCCCACCAAGGACATATACATTGCATTTGGGGCCAATCAAGAGATTTTTCTCCAGGGGCATAGTGTGGGAATCGGATATGGAGCCACAACTCATCTCTGTACAGTACTGAGGTTAGGGATGTTAAGATATTGTGATGCATATGACTACTGCTAGGCAACGGCTTGTTAAAAACATTCCTGAATATAAGCTTTCAACAATAGAAGGGCATATGTAGCTGGGTATTAGACCAATGAACACGCGGCTATAACAATACATGACAAGCATGAAAGGTGTTTTCTATGTGGACCATGCCGAGATTGTTTGCTGGGCAATTGCATAGTAGCACACCTCTACAACAACAGGGGTTCTGTGTTTTCTGTGCTGTGTGGTCCATGCCATGACTATATAAGGGAGGCAGTTTGAAGGGAGAACCACGTGTGGAGGCGGGATTGAATACCTCCACTGTGACCCTACGAGTCGTAGGAAGTGACGAAATGGGAAGTCTCAAATCTGAGACTGTAAAATATGGTCATCAGTCCAAAGGGACTTGGACCCAAGAAAGTCTCTGCTGGCAAGGGCCAGCAGCATATACAAAAGACAGGCCTGTCTTGTCAGAGAGGGTGCCCCACACAAACAAGAACATAGCTTTCAAATGGTAATAATTAATATATGGTCATGATGAGGCTCGACACCAAGACTTACTGACTGACTGACCGTCAGTTGCAATGTGACTTTGACTTGAAGGGAGAATTGTCAGAGTCAAGAGAATGGGAATACAATTATGTACAACAGTGTACAACAGAATTGAGTCAGGTGTCGGTAGCAGATAACCACAGGAAATTAGTAGTAGAACAAGAATTAGAAGTCAGCCTGTGAAGACTTAGTGTGTGATTAGAAGATTTGGTCACAGTGAGACTGTTTTAATTCTGTCACTAGTATATGACTAGTTAAGACTGAGAATCCTAGTGTGTAACTGTGAACTTTAAATTGTGTAAATCAGTGATAGCACTGTATTGCTTGTAATTAAGAGATATTGTATAAGGTGGTAATAAATCTAATCATCCAATCCAGAATCTGTTATTATTGGTCATGGAGCCATGAACATGTGGCAGTATATACCTTCATGCCTCCATATGCCTTTGTGGTATGGTGCTTAACTCAAGGGCAGTTTTATCTCTGAATGTACTTGATATTCATTCATTCATCAGTAATCTGTCAGATGACAGGTCCACAGTCTCTTCCAAAACAGTCCCTCCACTTAATGTGATCTTCTGATTTTGGAAAGAGACTATCCAGGAAAAGTGATAATGTGGTATTTTTTCCATTTGCTTTTCACATCACAGTACAACAGCTGTTCAAACCACTCTGGTCAAGCCTGTTGCTATACAAACTTGAACCATCTCGAGCATCATTTGCTCTGTGCTTCAAGTCGCTGCTGATGACGCTGCTTCCAGCATCAGTTTTTGGTTTTTGATGTCTCTCTTCGTCTGATAACATGAAAAAGAATATGTAATTGTATGTATATATGAGATTTTCAGGGACTGTACTGAAGTTGTGAAGAGCTCTGCGAATTAATGTAAATTGTAATTATTGTGTGTCTAGAGTGAACGTAGTGGGAGCTGTACCCATGCAGTGTCAGAACAGGAGCTGTCCAGAAGTCATGATGCCTCTTCCTGCCATGACCATGAAGAAATTAACCCTCTCATCGTTACGCAGATGACACTGGCCCCCAGAGAGCGCTGCTGTTGGTTGACAGTGGAACCTAGTATCTTCTTGGGAATGCTAGGTCATGCCCTCTCAAGTTCTGTGATCACGCAGCTACTATTAGCACGGAACTGCCAGGAAATGTTTCCCTTGAATGCAACAAAGTGTGATATGCTAGTTTACAGGATAGACACACAGGAAGCCCGACAGCTGGAGGCACTGTTGGAACCTCGTGTCACTGTACTGCAGATGTACAAGACTGTGATTGAAGCCTTCATTCCTGCGGTTCTCTCCATGTTTTTGGGGCCTTGGAGTGACCATTATGGCAGGAAACCACTCATGTTGTGGCCAGTGTTCGGTATGTTTCAGTTTTACATTCATACTAAATTAAGTAGGGGCACGCGGTAGCGTAGTTGGTTGAGGCATTATGCTACAAGCTGGAAGGTCATGGTTTCAAGTCCCAATGAGGTCATTGGATTTTTCTCAATTGATCTAATCCTTCCAGCTGCACTATGGTCCTGGGGTCAACTCAGCCTCTAACAGAAATGACTACCAGGAATATTCTTGGGGCTAAAGGGCGGCCAGCATGTAGGGCTGACAACCTTGCTGCCATCTATGAGCCGATTGTCTAGAAAAAGTGGGAACCTGAACATCTCACAACCCTATGGGCCTCCATGGTCTGTTCTACTTCACTTTTTACTTTTACTAAATTAAGTATGCAGCCTTCTTTATCATAAGGAAAGTCAAGAAAATATCAAAATATGCATGGATGAGAGTGGCCCTAAAATTAAATGTCCCAATCTCCATATCCTTTTGAGAATTTAAGTGCTGTATCTTTGTAGACAGTCTTAAGCCTTGAAGGTCGAGATGGGTACTTTATTTTCCTATGACGATTTGTATGGTTCTCCGGCATAATGCTTTAGGTAGCTAAAATATTGAAAATTTACGAACAGGTCATGTATCACAATGCTGCAAGTCACAAATGTTCTGTTGCTGTAATATATGGTTTCATAATTCTGTGGCACTGGTGATGCCGATATGTTTAGAATTTGACTGTTTCATTACAGTATATAACAATGGATGAATTTTCAGTGTTTTTATATTATTACTGTTTTAATTATAATAATTTTGTTATCATTGTTGATCTTCTCATATTAACCCTTAAAATTATATATATGTACCAAGTGCTGTAACATTAANATATATATATATATATATATATATATATTTGTCATGGTTTATCATCTAAATTTATAACAGGAAAAAAGCATTTTTTTTTTGTACAGGGCTTTAAATGTTTCTTGACAATTTTGAGTAAAGAGTTTGATTTGTAAAGTCTTAAGCCTCATTAAATACCATCTTAATGAAAATGGTACCTGTCTAACACTGTAATAACAAACAGCAAAGAGTGAAGTACTGTTTAGTGAGGTTTCATATCTGAAAACAAGGAAAAGAATTTGTTGTATTGGGACCACATTGCCATGTACCAACAATGTGGGTAAAAGAATCAGATGTAAGTAAAATCAGGATTGAATTCCATCAAGTGCAACAGTGTTTTTAATAATAAAATGGAGCCTTTACATGTTTCGACAAGTTATGGCTGTCATTGTCTGAAGCATATAAAGGCTCTATTTTATTATTGAGAAACATTGTTGAGTTTCATGGAATTCAACACTAATTTTACTTACATATGCAGTGGCTGAGGACTACAAACAAAAAAGAAAAAACAAACTCCGTGGCCTGTAGTCTGCAAACGAACTATATCGATCGAGGAACTGATGCTTGTCGTCGAAGTTAGTGCCAACTTTTGTGGATAGAGGGTGTCACATGGTCATCATAACGGATCCCCACAGCCGGTAATCTCGGTTTTCTAGACCCGTAATGGCTAAGGACTGTCTCATAAAAAGAATCATACATTTTAAATGAAAACACTCTGTGGTGCTTTTCATTTGGCTGTTAATAATACTGAAAATGTTAAAATTTAACCACTGTAGTTTTATTTCTGTGTTTTAATCAACGCTTCTGATGTCATTAGGGAATGGTTGGTTAAATGCAGCTTAAAAATAATGAATATTTGACAGATTTTTTTCACATGGCTTCTTGCCTCCTTGAAACTCTTTTGTGCCTGTCCATGAATGTGTGTGCCCCACAGTTTGGGAACACTTGAGTACCACTTGGACCAATTTGCTAGGTAGGCCGTGCCATGGCTCAAGCTCTTAGTTACTGTCTTTCCGTTGTGGCAGCCTAGATTTTATCTCAGGTTAAGTCAAGTGGGATTTGTGGAGGAAAAAATGGCACTGGAGCAGGTTTTCCCTGATAGTTTCCCTTGCCACTTCTCATTCTACTGAATGCTACACCCTCTTCTGTCATCTGGGGCTGGTACAGTAGCCCCATTGGTGGCTAGCATACCAAGTGGACTCAGTCTCACCCTACCCCATGAACTTGCTCAGTAGCTACATTATTGTTAAGAATGTTGACTGTAATGTTGATTTTGAGTCTGGGCTGTAGTATGCCATGTGGGAAATAGAATGATACTGTGTTACTGAGCTGTTGGGAAGTTGGGCAATGCACTGTTACAAACAAACAAAACTGACTACTCATTTATTTCCTCTCTCATTCTTTTACAAACATATGTAAAGTCATTTGACTGCCTCTGTGGTCTAATGGTCAGACTTCCTGGCTACAGATCCAGAGGTCTGGGTTCGATTCCTGGTGCTACCAGTTTTTCTTAGAAGTACTGGTTCTGGAATGGGATTCACTCAGCCTCGTGATGATAATTGAGGAGCTATTTCAAGGAAATTGTGACTCTAGTCTAGAAAACCGAAATTAACGGTCGTGGGGATTCGTTGTGCTGACCATACAACGCCCTCTATCCGCAAAAGTTGGCACTAACTTCGCCAACAAGCGGTGGTCGCTCGGTTGGTATATATAAAGTCATTTGGATGGCTGCTTGGTATTACAAATTGCTGTATAAGCACACTTCTATATTATGCCACTTGTATGTGTTCAGTGAAATGTTTACTTGTATTCCAGATTTTTTTGTCAATGTTTGTCCTATAGAATCATCCTATTCTTGCTACTATCTCAGCAGTGAACATGGTGACATTAAGTCACCACTTGACCATGAAATTGTTTTTTTTTCAAGGATTTAAGATGAATTGTTCCTTTCCTTTGTCATGTGTGATATCCAGTTAAAATGTGCGGCTGTACCATACAGGCATGCAATCAGTTTGATGCCTGATCAAGGCATATTACAAGGGACTTTCCATCCAGAGTTTGAATCTGACCCATAAATTTGTGCTGATGGGTCTGGCAATGAGACCAGCTACTTGTCCATGTTACTGGTACTCATATGATTCTTTGTCATTGCAGGATATGGCCTTACATATATAATATACACTTTTCTGTCTGTGGTACCTGATCTCTGTCCATTCTATTTCCTGCTGGCCAGTATTCCTGTGGCTCTCAGTGGGGGACTGATTACCGTTATCTCAGGGATGTATGCCTACACCAGTGATATCACTTCTGCTGAAAAGAGAGCTTTAAGGTATCAGTTAGTAGTGTTGCCTCTTTAGTTACATATCACAGTTCTGCTTCAGGCTTTACAAGGACATGATCACTTAAGAACTGTAAATCATGTAAGATTAACCCTTTTCCTATCTATTGTCTTCACTCCATTTTCCTAAAAATAATGTAATTTTAAGGTTAAGCTATGAAAGAAAACGGCATAAATGCAATTTCATAGCTTAATGAGTGAAGGTGAATGACCCAATGAAAGAAGTTTATTTCTTGATGTGAACTAAAGTTGAATATCACACTGTATGGTAATGGATGCTTGTTCAGCTTCATTCGAATATCACAGGAATAGGTTTAAGTGGATATCATGCTTTTGTGTGGTCTCAGATTGTGATCATAATAAATTCAAATATAGAGGCTGCAGGGAAAAAAGGTTAAGTTACCTCTGTGCTTAATTAAACACCACATCATGAAGATGTAAGAGTGAGTGAGTGAGTGAGTGGTGGTATAGTTTCATGCATTTTTAACAGTGGCTTTAGATGGAGGTGAGCTTAATGCCTTGCCATTCTACTCTCTGGTGAAAGAGACCCTGGTATGCATTTCATAGGATGCAGTGAAGAGAAATTCTCTTGGCTGTGCTGAGAATTGAACCTCAATTCCCAGATTATCCAGCCTCTAGCCTAGTCACTATACTGACTGAACTATTCTGGTTCCAGACATGGAGAATATTAAAAAAAAAATAGTAAAAAATAATATTCACATTATTAATTTCTCATTAATGACAAATTAGTGATGCAAATGCAACTTGAGTTTGGCTTTAATTTGATATTAAAGGGGCACGCAGTAGTGTTGTTGGTTGAGGGGCTATGCTACAAGCTGGAAGGTCACGGGTACAAGTCCTGATGAGGTCATTGGATATTTTTCAGTTGACCTAATCCTTCCAGCCGCACTAGGCCCTGGGGTTTACTCATCCTCTAACAGAAATTAGTACCAGGAATTAATTAAATAATTATCCTGGGGAGTAAAGCGTGGCCGGCGCGTAAAGCTGACAACCTTACCGCCACGTTTGAGCCGATTGTCTAGATAGTGTGGGACTCTCAACATCTCACAACCCTATGGGCCTTCACAGCCTGGTACAGGGATAGCTTTACTTTTTTTACTTTTACTTGATATTATTACTTTTTATATAAAAATAATTCCACATTTGTAAAATTAAAGATAGAAGTTGTATTTTAAAATATGTGAGGGTGAAAACTAATGAAGCTGTAAGAACTGTAATATTTTACATCATTGTCTATAAAGCAAGTACCAGAGTGGCATTCCAGCATGCAGAGAAGCAAAGGCTGCCACCCTGAACTGCCCTGGCTCAACTAACACCATTCTAAAGATAATCAGAATGACATGAATAGAAGCCAACAGGAAAGTTTCCTGAAGTCAGTCAAGATAGACGCACAAACCATGAGGAAACTTCAAGTCATATTACTTTATAAAAATGGAATGTAACAAAATGTCTCATGGCTGACCACATTCTTCAGTTCAAGTCTGTTGTGATACTGTTGCTACATGGAGCAATGAGTGTTTCGTTTGTTGCAGGATGGGATTCCTGGATGTTTGTTTGTTTGGTGGAGTGGCAGTAGGAGGCTATCTCAGTGCCCCGTTGTTCTCCGTAGCAGGGAAGTATGGGTACTTGACAGTGTTTGCGACAAGTGCCACATGTTATCTGCTGAGCTTCTTGTATGTGACATTCATACCAGAGTCTGTAAATGTGAGCCAGGCAAGTGAATTGGACACTAATTTATACCCAGTTTCTAAAGGTACAGGAAGTTACAATTTGGGTTGCAGAATCTGGCTGTTGCAAACAGACGGTCCTGTGTGGATGCACGAGAGAGACTAGTACAGTGACACAGATATCCATGTATGGCAAGCAGAGCAGGATGTGCTTGCTTCCTGCTTCTGGCTAGTTTGGTACATGGCTTATTCTTCGACTTTGAAGATGGAGCTGACATGTTCCTCCAAAACATTGGTTGACTTTCAGTTGACTGCCTGGTGTTACGTCTCATAGGCACAGAGGAGAATATTTGGACTATAGGAGAGGAAATATTGGTTGTTGGCTTGCTTTCTAATGCTGCACTTTGACAGTTAAGACATTTGTGCTGTTAACATCAACTGGTTGGTGTATTTATAACTCTTTTTTTCTATTTGGTCACCACTTGATCAAGTTGCATTATCGAGTTATCCGGCATACTTCACATAGGTTGAATGATTTCAAATTGTTCCCACTCTTGTCTGCCAGAGGTCTCTGCAGTTCTGCAACTGCAGTGACATCTAGGATCATAGTAGGGAACTTTTGTGGGGAACTGAAAATGGTGTCTTGATTTATCTTCTCTCATCTCTTTATCATGAGTGAAAGCTTATTTTCATGCCATAAATGGGCCCCCAGCTTTACTTCCCTTATGAAGGAAGATATGGTACAGATTTTTATTGCCCTTAAAAATACATCCACCTAAATTTGGTTTGAACCCACAAACCTTCGGTCCAGTGGCAAGCATATTACCACTGGATCACCAAAGCATGACTGAGACAGGAAATAATAAAAGGGTGAAGAAAATTTCATAATTGGGAAGCTCTTTACCATATGTTGTTAAGGCAGTGAACTCAAGAAGGGTGAGAATGGTTGGAACAGGGAAGGTGAGAAATGCATACACAGTTTGGTCAGGAAACCAGAAGAAAAGAAGCAACTTGGGTCACATAGGTTTAGATGTAATGATAATTTACACTAGATCTTAACCAGAATGTGATGGTGTGGACTTGATTCAGCTAGGTCTGGATAGGGACCAGTGGCAGACTGTTGTGAACATTTGGCATCTATAAAAGGTGGGAATGTCTTGACCAATTCAGTGACCATTGTCTTCTCAAGAACACTGTGTTCCATGTAGTTACTTAGGTTTCTTCTTTGAATGGGGGGTGAATATCATAAATAGTTAGAATGTGAACAATGCTATGACGGGGTAATTTATTTCTGTTCATAGCCTGTGTTTAGGTATACTGCGGTAAAATCTTGGGTAAGCAGTGAAGGGTCTGCAGCCTTGCTGAAAGGTCTGTTGTCTATCCTGAACACTGCAGTTGAAGCTAAGTTATTGTGCAGATGGGAAGCTCCAATGGAGGGCTGTGCAGTGTATTTGACATACGGCTAGTTTCGAAGATGATTGCTACCTGCTGCAAGAGAAGAGAACACTATAGACGAGCCATCATCTTCCTTGTCATCATCGTTATATCTACCTGTATCATTAGCTTGGAAGGTAAAGACAAGATACCTTTAAGTGGTATTAAACTTTGTGGTTTGAGTGGTGGCCATGGTTTTCTCTGGTCCTTCACAAAAGATGCCAAGATAACTCCTTAACATATCCAGTAACCACCTGCCATGTTCTTCCAACTTTTCATTCATAATCATCCTTATTTGAGACCATACAACTTACATAGTTTAGAAAGCTTCATATGGACCAAGAAGAAATATTTCCATTGTGAAGTTTGACTATTAAATTATTCAGATATGAAGCACCAGCTTTTGTAGTTAGGTCTCAGTCAGAAAATCAGTTACAGTGTTTTCAGAATTGTTCTTGAATGGATGCCGATGTCTTATAGTCTGTGATTATGTAACTGGCTGTTTCCCATGGTTCAGGTTCGGCATGCATCATCAGTCAAAAAAATGAAGTATGCTTCCAAAGAAAATATCAGTTTNGTTATTTTCTTCGTTATTATCAACATCTACCTCGTTGATATCTGTCTGGTATGTAGATTATTTTGCACACGTCAATTTTGATTTTCCTGTAGTAGCACTTAAAATTTTAAATTTAAAATTTAGAGAAAATTTTAAAGGATTTTAAAATTATAACTAAAGATTTTATAGTGCTACTACAGGAAAACCAAAATTGACGTGTGCAAAATAATCTACATACCAGACAGATATCAACGAGGTAGATGTTGATAATAACGAAGAAAATAACAATGTGTTTTTTAAATGTTAAATTTTAGACTGGGTTCAGTGTGGCAGCAACGTAAGAGTATACACCTGATGATGACCGTTAGAGGCCGAAACACGTAGTGTAGAAGAGAGCAAGATCAAAGACATATAATATATATTGTTTGCACTTGGGATGGAGTTTGTGTCATTTGTCATGTAGAGTGCAACAGGATGCTTAAATATAATATTGTAAATCAGTTTAATATCAGTTTCCCCATATATCTCCCAAGTTTGATCTTGAAGTGGCATCTGAAGTATCAGCATTCTTTAATTCATCATTGTTGATAAAAATTGGAAGATGTGTTTAATATAAACGTAACTCTGCTACATGTTTTGACCATTAAATAATTAGGTCATCATCGAGCACTTATGAACGTAACTCAAGTGATTAAAATATTGGCTATGATTAATAATGCTTAATATTTTTGACTGCTCTATGCCAAATGGTGACTGAGCAGGGATTTCCCTGTCATAATTTATTTGGCCAGTTTATATGTCTGTGTGTTTATTAGTTCATCATCAGCAGTAACTTCTTTGTCCTCCCAATTTGGATTCCTATTGATCATTCCAGCTGCATCTTATATGTCACCTGATCACCTTTGCAACATTTCTGTTTTCAGTAGTACAGTACTGTCAGCCTTGGGTGTTTAGGTATGGGAGATTCTGTCATACATTGCTTTGTTTCTAATTTTCTCCTTGTTTTATGTGTTTGTTGCATATTTACATGCTTGCATGTCTGCAGCTCTTTTTTAAACAAATATTCATCTTAATGGTGTATCCGGTTATTTCTTAAAGATTTAAAAATGTGTCTGTATTTCTGTTTTTTATAAATTTTTGTATGTGTGTCATGTCCATTTGTCCACAGTGTTCCTAAGGCCAGCTGCACATATCCTTTCTTGCCTGTAATTTTGCCTGTGTGATCTTAAACCTGAAAGACTTCTTTCAAGCTAAGCAATTGGCATACAGCATGATTATGTCTATGATTGGATTCCACAAATATTCTGCCTTATCTCAGTTTAGCTTCTGACTTGAAAGTGAGCAGGTACGAGTAAAATGATGAGCGAGAATGAGCATGTGTAGCTGCCCTAAGAGCAGATAATCATGATATTTCCACTACTGAACTTTTGCTCTTTCTGAACATTACAGTATTCAGAATATGCCACAAACTGGAGGAAGTGTAGTGAGCAGTAGTGGTGACAAAGAAGTGGGCTCAAGTTATTTGCTAAGATGTTTAAATAATCTGTGATACATTCATGGAAACTTTACAGTCTGATTGGCTATAGTTTTAGAGTACAGAACAAAAAGAGCCATATACAAGTGGCATAATTCTGGTATATGGACTTGTTTTTTCAGGTGAAAGTACTGTGTCGTTTCTTTACACAAGGGACAAATTTGGTTGGGATATCAGAAAATACACACAGTTTGGTAGTGTTGTGACACTGCTTTCATTATGTGGTAAGTTCGTTAGAAAATATGTTGTCTGTAGATGAAACTCACATTAACAAGTTACGGGTGAAATAAGTTTCCTGCATCCAGTAGGCCAATGAAGAGTAGGAAAGTGATTTTTATGCCACATAAAATTTGAAAAGTTTTAGTTAATTTATTTCGTGATGTCAAAATGGATACCTGTGTAGATGGCTGACATGTTAGATAATGGGAACTTTCCTAGTAAGTTAAATGGGGACAATGTAAATTTGAAGTGAACCACTTCTTCACAATTCTGAGCAATATGGTGGTTGCACAAAGGAAGGTGTTTCACCAGATGTCGTTTTTTGTAACACTTCTGGATATATTCCAAGATGAATGTCAGATAATTAAGCAACATTTATCACTGAAATTGCATGTTATTTTAATTTAAATAATATATATTGCACTGTTTAGCGGCCTCCGTAGCCTAGAGGTAACGTTCCCACCTCATGACTCGTAGTACATGGGTTCAAATACCCGGCGGAGGTTGTCGAATTTTTAAGGGCGGAAAAATTCAGGGAACAAGTCCTCTTGGAGGGACTTTAAGCCGTGGGTCCCATGTCGTAGCTTTACGGCACGTAAAAGAACCTCATATCTCCAAAGGAGGTCACTGAGCCAAATTAACGGACGTTTCCCGCCCAACAGCAGTCTCCTAATACCTCTGGTAGATGGAGGAAGCATTATAGATACCTCTCAGCTAGTAGAGCCGGTCTCGCTGGCTGGGCGGGACTGATGGTAAGCACCAGTACCGGTAGGATATAGAGACTGGTAGAAATCATAGAGGGAAGCACAATGGACCAATACAGGTCTCAGTGCGTGGGGAAACCCACCCTCTCCAATAACTAACTAACTAACTAACTAACTATTGCACTGTTTACTATGACAATGTGGCTGGTGCAGGTAAGCAAGCAATGAGACACTCAGGAATGAATGCATCCAACTTCATCATGCTTTTTATACACAAGGTTGCCCTTCTGAAGTATTATGTGGCTTCATACATATGACAGTTTGATATCAGGTGCTTGTTATTGTAGCAAAGCTCATATCGTTTAAGAAATCCAGTTTCTTGGTCAGAAATTCTCAGGTTGTGTGTTCGCAAATGTATATGAAAATGAAAACTTCAGTCAGAATATGCAGGATTTTAGGTTCTTGCAGCAATGGTTATGAAGGGCACTATCTTCTGGGATATCGTCATATAATCTGTTATAAGTCAACCAAGGTTTTGGAAGAACATATCACCCCCATCTTCAGGGTTGAAGAATATGATATGTTCCTCCAAAATATTGGTTGCCTTTCAATGGACTGCATGGCTTTACATTCCAGAAGATAGAATAGTTAGTGCGCCAGCTGAGATTTACACTGGGCATGTCCCAAGTACAAGTCAGAAGTGTTACTGCTTGAGCCATCTTATTTTATGATTAACATTTTCATGTAAGACCAGCAAATGGTGCACCCTACAGTTTTACAGTGAACTCTCAGCAAGGTCATCTTACTACAGGGTGGGGCGGAGAAACTTCCTTTTTGTGAAGACGCATTATGAAGGGAGGGGAGTTCGCAGAAAAGTGGGGATAGACTCAGCGAACGTGGAAATTGTGGAAGTTTCTGTCTAATACCCTCAATATAGGAAACATGAGGTGGACGAGTAAGCAGCGTGCGTTTGCTGTCAAAGCCTATTTTTCGAACAACCATTCCTACGTGGCGGTGCAGTGTGCATTCCATACTCAAAAATTAAGCCCAGAGGTCTGGTTCACAACCGGAAATCGATTGTTTTGTGGGTAGAGAACTTTAGGACAACTGGGAGTATGGTGAAAAAATCATCAGGACGACCACGGACCGTTACGACTCCAGAAAATGTGGAGGCAGTTCAACAGTCGATTTTGAGATCTTTTTCAAACCAGCTCTTGAAGAAATGCATCTAGGAAATGTCTGGTTCAAATAGCATGGTGCCACGGCCCACACAACTCGAGCTTCAATGACAGTTCTGTGGGCAAAGTTCCCTGGACGACTCATCTCGCTTCGAGGTGACATCCCGTGGGCAGCGCACTCACCTGATCTAACGCCCTGTGATTTTTTTTTATGGGGATACCGCAAGGCAGAGGTTTTTAAACATTGCCCCACAAACCTGCTTCAGCTGAAGAATGTTATTCGGCAGGCAGTAGCCCAAATTCTGGTGCACATGTTGGAACGTGCAGAGGGGAACTTCAGAAAACGGTGGCCACCACCTTCAAGATATTTTGTTTAAAACTACATGATTTAAAACTTTAAAGTGTGTTCTTTCATTAGCTAAACATAAATTTTGTCTATCAACAATAATTTTTCTTTTATTCGCCTTCAAAAAAGGAAGCTTCTGTGCCCCACCCTGTATTACATTTCAGTTTTATGTATATGTATATCTAATGTAACATCCTTTTAGACTTCATTGGGAAGTCTCAGCCTTTGTTATATAAGCTCTTGTACTATTACCTTCCCCTGCTTTGTCCTGTATTTCTTTCCATTGCTGTATGTTACCAAATGATGAACTGAGGCCAGTGTTTATCACTGTTTCCACAAGTTACATGCTCAAATAGCCAATTATACATAGAAAATAAACAGAGCACACTGAAACAAAGGACTGCTCACTCATTTGTGACCTTTGAGATGACTTACATTTGTGATGTGTGTTAACACTCGACAGTTTATTGCTTTGGTAACCCAAAATTGCATAATTTCAGACGTTTCATCTCACCAGTACATTTACTTTATATATATATGTATGTGGATATGTTAAGATGAATAGACTCCGAAGGGTTAATGGTGTATAAATTGTATTTGAGGAACACATTTGTGTGCTGAGCAGTTTCAGTGTAAGGAATACCTTTGTTGCTGTGTGCTCTGTTCTTGCCTGATTTCTGGCATCACGGTTTTGTCATGGTAAACTTAGCTGTTATCCTTTCCATGTGTTACATAAATTTGTGGAATTATCAACAGGAACTCTGATTGGAATGTATATCTTCAGCGTGTGGCTCAGAATCTCAGACAGTGTGTTTGCACTGTGTGTCTTCCTCACGAAGTGTGCTCAAACACTTATCTTTGGCTTTGCACCAAAGGATTGGTACTTATATATTGGTAGGTATAACTTGATTACTGTGTTGTATTTGAAGTTCTCACAGCAGTGACTATTAAGAGTTCTGTCTTCTGGGATATAACACTGTGTAGTCTGGTGTAAGTCAGCTAGTGTTTCAGACGGACATATAACCTTGATCTTCAGGGTTGAAGTGTAAGCCAAGCAAGAGACCTGCATGAAGTGAGCAGCAAGTAGAGCCTCTGCTTGCACTCAGGATTACTGGGTTTTTGGACTTTGTCCACTGTCTGGTATTCCACAAAACGCAAAAATTACAACATTTCAGAAACTGAATATGTTTCCATCCTCAGAGGAGGGTTTGGAGACGGGCCCAATCCAGTGATCCAGTGATTGAGGTTAGCACTTCCTGATGGACCCAACAGAGTAGGTGTTTCCCGCCCCTAACTTGAGGATGAATACAGATCCAGTTTCTCAAATGTGTTCGTTTATGTTTTTTAGTATACCAGATGGTGGACGAAGCCCAAAAACCCAGTAACCCTGAGTATTGATACACCATCATCAAAAGCCTTTAGAATCTACCTCTGCTTGCTGCCTGCAATAAGGGAATTTGCTTTGAAACTTATGTTTAAGTTGTTTAAGAGTAATTTTAGTGATCACCCATTTTCAGGCTAGAATACCTTCATTTCTTCAGCTTCGATTTTTTGCAAAACTCATGGGGGCGAGGTGCAGTGTGATATCCATTCTGTTGGCTCCATGCTTGACAGTAGGCATGGCAGGGTAAATTCTATAGTAAAGCCATATGAAGAAAATAAATATTGGATCTTCATATACCTCAACTAATGACTTAAAATGAAAAAAGAGGAAAATAACATCTTTATGAAAGAGAAAAGTGTACAGTATGACTGAGACAGGTGCTTTTGTAACAACAGTATCTTCAGCTTTGTGGGTTGGCAACACTAGTGAACTGATTTGGCTCAGTATCTGTGTTATATAGATTTTAATGGCATTGCTATTTCAGATTTCATCAGAGTCAGGCAGGTGCTTTAGGAGTTGAAAGAAGTAATGTCTGAAGTTTATTGCTTTCCTTTGGTAACACCAAATGGTTCAAAATCCAGCTTTCTTAACTGTGCTTAGCGGTGGTTAATTATTTAAAATTTCATACAGTTCTCTTATTGGTTTATAAATTGATAGAAGTAATTATTTAATTTTAAGTTCAACAAAATTTTCTTTGTATGTGGTATACAAAGCTACTATCAGATTTAATCTGAATAGAAGGCATGGGTGTTAGAGAAGACAGTAATGGAATCTGCACTTTTGTGTGCTAGTAACAGTGGATTGGTATGGTTCCAAATCAGAATTATGTTGCATATTACTATTGATCCCTGCATCATATTTTATCAAAATCTGGCAAATCAAATCTGACTCATGCACAAGACAGTATTTGCTAAATGACTGAAACTAAGAAACTTTTCACATCATCAGTAAAATATTGTAGCGTGTTTTGTGTGTCACGCTACAAATAAGTTCACGCCATTGTCCGATATAGTGAATTTATTCCTTTTGCTCACCTTACACACTTTACAATCATTACCACTTGCAGTGTTACAAATACTGCTTACAATATCTCGGCTGATACTGGACTGTCTTCTCTGGCGGTTGTTCTAAGACTCACTGTGCGAATGCATTCAACCCCGCTATATAACCTTGGTCGCTGCTATGCAACGAACCCTTTGTTATAACCATGGAGACTCCTGTTAGAACTACAATAGAGCGACCGTTGTTTCCTATGCAACGGTCTATTCTAGCGTTTCCGTAGAAGTGACTCTTCTGGATTCCCGACACGTTACAATATAATGAATTTTTGTATTCCTATTCAGTCAGTATGGTGATGGGCTAGAGCCTGGATGACCGGGGTTTAATTCTTGGCAGGGGGGCAAGAGATTTTTCTCTACTCCACAGCATCCAGACTGGCTGTGGGGCCCATCCAGCCTCCTATCCAATATGCCCAAGGGTCTCTTTACATGGGGTAAAGTGGCTGGGATGTGAAGCTGACCACTCACCACCTTCTGGTGCCAGTGTCAAGAATGGTGGAGCTGTATTTCCACTCCCCTATATGTCTTCATGGCATGGTGATTAACTAACACAGGGACAACTTTACCTTTTAATTTACTGAGGCCCTTTTCTTCTGAAGTTTGTTGCAGCATTTCACTTCTTTTAAGCAGATTCCATGTATTGTTTATGTTGTGCATATATCTACTGTCAGACTGAGTGCTAAGAGGGGTGGTAGCTTCCTCCACTTTACTGAACGGTGGTGTGGAGTGTACCTAAAGTAATGTGAAGTACCAGTCGACCACTTTACTCCATTATCCGCCTTCAGGATTCAGTACAGTGGTATATTAATATGCAGAGAAACAATTACTGTAATAAAAGGTATGATTCTCTTTTCAAAGGTAGTGCAGTTGGTGTCCTTGGAGGTGTTTCTGGTCCCCTTTGTCGCTCACTTATCTCCAAAACTGTGCCATTAGAAGACATAGGTATGTTCCATGGTTCTGATTTGATTTTATCTGTGTACCTTGTTGCCACTGCTAAATTACAATGTTTCATTTAATTTCCAGTGCTCGCGAACAAACAAATGAAAACTGGGTACTTACTGCGTGTGGTATGGTTTAGTTTTTTATACTGTTTAGTTCTAATTGATTCTGATTTTGAAAGAATCTATAAATGAAGTTTCTGTGATAAAATTTTTGGGTCTGCAAATTGATAAGAATTTAGACTGGAAGAGTCATGTAGAGTATATTCTCCCTAAACTTAGTTCAGCTATTTTTGTAACTAGGAGTTTATCTTATTTTATGAGTAAAAAAAAATTATGAATGCTGTATTTTTCTTATTTCCACTCTGTTCTTAAGTATGGAATAATTTTGGGGGGCAACTCAACGAATAATTTTAGAGTTTTTAAAAAACAAAAAAAAAAAGGTAATAAGGATTATATCTGGAGTGGGACCTAGAGACTCTAGTAGGGATCTTTTTAAGAAATTGAATATACTGCCATTGTAATGTGAATACATTCTCTCATTGATGATGTTCGTGATTGATAATCAAACTAAATTTTGTTCAGGTTTAGATGTTCATGGTTTGAATACAAGAAATCGAAAGCAATTATATTTGCCAAACTCTAATCTTTCTGCTTTTCAGAAAGGTACTATGTTTACTGCTATTAAACTATTCAACAGATTGCCCATAACCATTCAAAGCCCTAAAGAGGATAGAATTAGTTTTAAAAATAGGCTGTTTTTATATCTTATGAATAATTCCTTTTATACAGTTTCTGAATATGTGGAGCATAACATAAACAATTAGTTTTAATTATTTTGTTATCTGTGTGTTTGTTTAAATTTGTTTTTATATCTTATGAATAATTCCTTTTATATAGTTTCTGAATATGTGGAGCATAACATAAACAATTACTTTTAATTATTTTGTTATCTGTGTGTTTGTTTAAATTTTTGTATGACGACCTTCATGTCCATTTGTTTGGACTTGTGAAATGAAATGTATGTATGTATGTATGTAGGAATGTTTCTGTAGCCATCTATTAGCCAACTTGATGCCTAAAATAGCATTGAGAAAGTTATATATATATTCATTAATTTCTGTATAATAATATAATATTCATGGTCAGATTTTTTTTTGTATCGAGTATCCATGTAGTACCATAAATATGACTATAGAGAAAACTGCTAATGCTCTTGTTTGAGTTTACCAGAGGAAGAGATTTGAGGTTGTACTGTTTTGGGTGTCAACTTCTTTGCTTGTTTTAAAAATAACAGTTTTTGGCTTGATGATATGAATGCTTAAATATTGGAAGGTCAGAACAACAGAGAGCTTTAAATATAGGTTATGTGTGTAATGTTTACAGGTACAGTGTTTGCAATGACTTCAATGATAGAGTCGCTGACACCCATTGCTGCCTCACCTCTCTACACATTTGTCTACAATGCGACCCTTCTGACATTTCCTGGAACATTTTATATTGTTTCCTGTGCAATATTTGGTCTGGATGTTATACTGTTGAGGTTTGTAGCTGCATGCAAGAATTTTAACTGTTGACAGGCCTGTACAAGTAGTGAACAGGCAACAACAACAAACAGCTACTCCATGAAAGGAGAAGAAGAATTGTTCATTCACAGGGCACAGAAGGAAGACAGTAATAGCCTTTTCACAGAGCATAGGAGAAAGAGTAACATAGCCAGTGACCCTAAAATGCGCTGTTCATGAACAGGGAGGACATATGAAGTGAAAAAGAAGCAAGTGGGGAGACTGAAGAAAATTAAGCATAAGAGAAAGGAGGTGGGAGTAAGAGGAAAGGCAATGGGGGAAAGGGAGAAAGAGAGAAAGGACAGGGAGGGCCTGAGAAGGGCAGTTCAAATGGGCCAGGGTACAAAGAAAAACAGTTGTCCTTAGGAAGAATATTCCACTGTTTCTTCAAAGTGTAGATGAGAGGTTACTCAGGGCGAGATCATCATTCCTGGTAATGTTTTGATGGAACTTAGTTCGAATGGCTTCACTGATAATGCAGTTCATGCATTTGGGTGTTCTGGCAGGGATAGTGCTCTTAAAGTTGGATGTGTTGACCCTGGTAGATGTGTTCTGCTGTAACTGACTTCTTTTTTAATTTTTTTTTAAATTCGCTTAGTGGGGGGTGGAGTCCAACTGAGTCCACTCGGTATGGCGGCCACTGATTGGCCTATTGTACCTGCCCCGGGTGATTATGATGATGGAGAATTTGGTGGAATGAAGATTGGCAGGGGAAATCGAAATACTCGGAGAAAACCCGCCCCAGCACCACAAATCTCACTTGACCAGACCTGGGCCGCTGCGGTGGGAAGCCAGCGACTAACCACTTGAGCTATGGTGCGGCCTGCTGTAACTGACTTTGTCTCGTACTGTCTTCACAGGCCATCTGTAACAGAACACAGCATCAGTTGCCCCCTCCCCTCTTCTTTTCTACCCATGGTTTTGAGTGACCCATTCTGTTTCATGTGTATAACTAGACACTTTCCCAAATAGGCTCACTTCAGCCCTGAATATGCAGGCAGCTTGTTCTTCTGAAACGTTTATAACCATCTGCCATGCTACATGGCATCACATTCAAGATGACTGCACTCTTTAATATTTAATGCTGAGAGCTCCAGTTATAAAGTTCTTAGCTGTTTTCTGTAATTAATGATGAACCCTCACTTCCATAATGCAGTGAAAATTATGCCTTTAAAGCATTGATTCTTCCATTGATTTATAATAGTTGGTGTAAAAACTATCATTTGGCTGTATATACAATATCTTAAAATTTGTACTACAGTCACTACTCGATTTATTCAACAGTTGGTTTCGTAGAGAAAGTCACGGAGGGTGGAATTGCATAAATCGAACGTGATTTTCCCACAAGAATCAAGGAAAGTATCTAAGATCTGCTTCAGAAAGTGTCAGAATATTCTTTCCATTACTTAAACTGATTGTCTTATGCAATACATTACATCCTTCTTATTTTAATAATATTTATATAATTTAAGTATGAATAAATTGTGTTTATAATTATTTACTTTGAAAGGAACATTGCTAGACATTGCTGAGGAAGGGAATGGCCACCACTACTTAGTCAAAATCACTGGCGCAGTTGTCCCAAGATACACAGACAACAAAATCAACTTGCTTCACTCTCAGACATTGAGAAACATATTTAAAATTAATTTTAAATATTGTTGAATAGTTTTTAGATTTCAGAAGCACTTTTTTTTATTAATAAATAAATTATAAAAATTAGACTCATGGATCTCATTGTAGATGGCTTGCTAAGTGGATGGGTTGATGAGTCATAGAGCTGTAAGGGGACATGGTTGAAAGATGATGTTAATGCAAGCGAATACAGTGGTAGAGAAGAGGATTGAATTTGTTGAAAAATCAGTAGTGTTGAGTTTTGCATTTGTGGCCATTGAAATTGATGGTAAAATTTCACTAGAGGTATGTAGTGGATCTTCTGGCTGTTAATTAAAAAACAATACATTTTTAGTTACTTTCCAGTTTCTGATTTCTTGTGCAACAGTAGATGTGCAGAAGAGGTTGTGCAGTTGGGCCAGATTTCCCTTTCTTCTCTTGTATTCCTTCTGTGCCACACATGCTTGCCCTTCTCCCTGCCCCTCTTAATTGTCCAGCAAGCAATTAACATCAAAGTGAGTGCTAGGAATTGAATTTGGTTAAAATTAATTGACTGTTTTAAAAAGAAATAACATTTTTTGAAATCGCATATAACAAGGAATTTTTGTATGCTGTAACACAAAGTAGATTGCGTATATAGTTAGTTTACAATCAGCATATCAAACAAAACGAAATGGTGGAACAACCCTGACAGAAGATAAATGTAGCTACATCTTGGTATCAGAGTCTTTCTTGTGTCTGACAGAAGTAAATTTCAGAAAAGCATGAGATAGTGGTATGTCATTATTGGTGGTAATTTTTAAGATGTATGTAAAGTAACAGGATTGTAGATGTTATCACTGTAGAGTACCTTATATGCTCACATTATTTGTGTAAATGTTTCAGCTGGGTGATTGTGCTACAGCATTTGTCACCAGCACACAGCTACACTCGGATTCAACAGGTAGAATGAATCAAGAAGTAGTGCATGAGCAGGTAACTTCGGACCTCTATATAGTAGATTCTGTAACTCAATCTCAGTGAACAAAGATTTTCTCAACAGTTTCAGACATGACTGCATGATTGTTAGGCACATTATGTCATGTCAGAATTGAACCTAACCTGATGATTCAAAACAAATAGTTCTCATAAAACTTTAACAGTTCTTCTATACTGAGACATATACTACTCAAAGAATCTATGTTCTCCAGAACAAATCTTTTAGTTTCTTTTGTCACTTTCATTTACGGGTCATTCCATGTGAAATCATCCAGAAAGGTCGCTCACCATTTTTAAAAAAAATTATATTTTGTACACTTATTTATACATATTTTCATACTACAAAAAAATTTTTAAAAAAATTCTAATCCGCTCAGTTCTCTCGGTACAGGCGTTTTTATAATGCGAAAAAACGCGTTTTCGGCTGAAATGGAGGTTTGCGTTATCTTCCATATCTCGATAACTATTGAAGCTACAGACTCCAATAAAAACGCTATTTGTTCCTCATGATATGGACTACAAATCATATTATTACAAGTTTTTACTCAGCTCACTTTCTGTAGGTGTAATTAAACTTGAAACTTACCTATCGATTTTGGGAAAAACGCTATTTTTGACCTTCAAAAACCAATGGGAGGGGGAAAGTATCAGATCTGTGATTTCTACCATTTGTTGTTACCTATATGGGGAATATAATCACTTAGTTTTGAATCCCGTACCTAGTTTCCAAAATTTTCCAGGAGCTTCCAAACTTTGCTCTGGGCCCCAAATCGGCCATTTTTAACATCTCATATCTCCGGTGGGGAAGCTCAGAAAATTTTTAAATTCCTAGAAGATAATGCTCTATTCTAGAGTAACTTGGAGTTAAAATTAGAACTTTGATATTCAATTAATGGCGAAGTTCTTATAATGCGAATAAACGCGTTTTCGGCTGAAATGGAGGTTTGCGTTATCTTCCATATCTCGATAACTATTGAAGCTAGGGACTCCAATAAGAAATCAGTTTGTTCCCCATGATATGGACTATAAATCATATTATTACAAGGTTTTACTCAACTCGCTTCCTCTAGGTCTAATTAAGCTCGAAATTTACCTATCGATTTTGGGAAAACCGCTATTTTTGACCTTCAAAAACCAATGGGAGGGGGAAAGTATCAGATCTGAGGTTTCTACCCTTTGTTGTTACCTACATGGGGAATATGATCACGTAGTTTTGAACCCCGTACCTAGTTTCCAAAATTTTCAAGGAGATTTCAAACTTTGCTCTGGGCCCAAAATCGACCATTTTTAACATCTCATATCTCCGGTGGAGAAACTCCGAAAATTTTTAAATTCATAGCAAATAATGCTCTATTCTAGAGTAACTTGGAGATAAAATTAAAACTTTGTTATTCAACTAGTAGCGAAGTTGTGGGCACTTTGACTTTTACAAAAAAATCAATACCTCGATAATTGGCTTACCTGCATCCAATAGTATTAGTTCTTTGTGTACTCCGATGAAAATCGTCCAGTTTGTTTGAAAGTAGTTCAGGAATTGTCCACTACCACGATGTCTTCGAAATCATCGGACTTAGATGTTTTATAACACCTGACCGTGTTTTCCTCCAGAGGGACGACCCGGTGTTTTTCTCTTGTATGGGGCACAGTTTTGCACTTTTGGAACCTGCTTTTTAGAATGATTTCATTTCTTGCAACTTCCTCTGTTGGCACAAAAAAGTAAACTATCCCTGAGATATTTTCTGTGCAGAATTTGTACAGTTCTAGCGGGCACATGATTTGATTAAAATGAGTTCTCTGAAGACTGGCTTTCGTTGCTTGCCTCTTCGTGGTGCCGCCAATACCGTCACAGGCATTCTTCCCGTGCGAGGTGGCAAAGAAGTTCCATTCTGCTTGAAGACCGAAGTCTTCATAGTGATGACATAAATTGGAAAGATTCTTTTTGTTTTTATATTGGCTTCCAGCGCCATCACTGAAATAAATAACTTTCCTGACTGAAGGCACATTTTCTTTTATATCGGCGATAAGATATTTTTGGAACACGTAAACTGTGGCTGTATCGTGCTTTACATGATCACTGATTATACACAAGCTTCGGCATTTTGTTATATTGTCCGCCTTGTAGTAATACACAAATGGGTGAAGTGTAGCCTGTTGATTTACCCAATGGAAACTTTGAATCTCGTCTTGAACGAGAAACGAATAGTTTTCTGCAAAATCTGCAAGAACGAGACACTGTGTTTCGTCCAGGCTTTCCCTCGTTTCTTTCAAATACTGGGACTGAATTTTAGCGACGTAGTGATGTTTTTTCAGTTCTGTCAGTTTTTCAATTAGAGATTCGCAGAATTCACTGTAAGTTTGCATTACAGAAATCATGTTAGCTCTGTCTGTGTTGACCCATTGTTTGTAGACTATTTGATCCGGCATGCTCTCAGATTCGGCTGATAGCAATTCCGTCAGAATTTCTTCTCCAGGGCAGTCTGCGCATTCATTACTCATGCACTTATAACTTTCGATGTCACAAACCATTACACGTAATAAATCCTTGTAGTCCGAATTCAATGTTGCTCCCTCTACCATCAGCTTAACATTTTGGTGATAGCTGCACACACAAACGGTATGAGTCCCCGATGCACCAGCAATGATACACCACTTCGGTCGAAGTGCACAAAATTTGGAGAAACCAATTTTGTGTTCAGGTTGCGTATTCTTAAAGTGAATGTAAAGTTCCATCAAATTGCATAGTATCAGCCGTTTCTGCATATGCTCTTTGATACCTCCCACGTTAACACTCACACAATCCTTTTTTCCAGGGCAGATCCTACTGTTTTCATTGTTTTCATAAAATTCCGTGACAGCCTGAATTGTTTCGTCACGAACTGGATGGCCACGCCTTTTGCCTAAATCCGGAAGGATCCCTTGCGTCTTCTGAAGCGCTCGAGTAATTCTAACCAAGTGCTCAGAAACTTGAAATTCTTGACTTATCTTCTGTCTTGACCACGAAGTTGGCAATAAGCTAATGATTTTAATTTTTTCCTCTTTGTTTGAGATTAAACATTTCTCCTTTAATTTGTTAATCAACAAATCATACTCCTCACTTAATGCAAAGGAAGGTATTTGTTCATCTGAATCAAGACCCATCGAGTCGTCTGAAAATGAACTCGCTAGTTTCCTTCGAAGAGAGTCGGATATTCTTCTACATTTTTTTGATAAAGCAGCGGGTCTTTTCCCAGTATTCATCTTCATAATTTTAGCCACAGGAGAAATATCTAGAGCCGAACATACTGCTTCTAATTCTGCCACATTTTCTTGCATAGGTGCAAACTCGCTCCTTCCAGAACCACTACTGCCCCCACTTACGGTTTCTTTAAGAACAAAAATCTTTGTGTAACAATTAGGACACAAGGATTTACCTGGTACTAGAGCTACCGGAAAATTCTTTTCTTTCTTGAGATGTTCTAATGAAATTTCACGTAAACCTTTCTTAATGGTTCGTTTGTGCACTTTTAGCGGGTCACAACAAATGTTTCCAAACAGGTGATTGTATTTAACAGAATATTTAATCTCATGATGCTTGCATATGGACCTCAAATCGCATTCACCCAATCTTAACTTTAAAACAGTTTGTTTCTCTTCACCCAATTCACTCACAAGCGTTAACTGTTTGTTGACGGCACCATACGTAGTCTTATGGCATTCTTCACGTGTGACAATACCTATAGAACATTCCATTTCAAAAACTTTTTCCTTTCGACTTAGAGAATACCGAGCTCGATACACGTAAAAGATCTACAGTTGCTGAACATACACTGACTTACAGTTCGAGACAGCATTCATGTGAATGCTTCATGCTGCTGAGAAAGCAGCCTAACACTAACATCACGATTACAAAAGTTTGGGTTCAGATGTCAAAACACACAAGGCGCGAAATAAGGGACGTAGATGTAGGTCCATGTTTATAGCCAGAGCTTAGCTCTAAGAACCGAGTGTTGATAACATGTCATTCCGAGCAGTAAGTACAGGCCTGAAAATGATTTTAGTGACAAAATATAGATCTCTCGTCTTTTATACCAAATAAAGAACCGGCAATACCATTGGATGCAGGTAAGCCAATTATCGAGGTATTGATTTTTTCGTAAAATTCAAAGTGCCCACAACATCGCTATTAGTTGAATATCAAAGTTGTAATTCTATCTCCAAGTTACTCTAGAATAGAGCATTATTTGCTATGAATTTCAAAATTTTCGGAGTTTCTCCACCGAAGATATGAGATGTTAAAAATGGTCGATTTTGGGCCCAGAGCAAAGTTTGAAATCTCCTTGAAAATTTTGGAAACTAGGTACGGGGTTCAAAACTACGTGATCATATTCCCCATGTAGGTAACAACAAAGGGTAGAAACCTCAGATCTGATACTTTCCCCCTCCCATTGGTTTTTGAAGGTCAAAAATAGCGGTTTTCCCAAAATCGATAGGTAAATTTCGAGCTTAATTAGACCTAGAGGAAGCGAGTTGAGTAAAACCTTGTAATAATATGATTTATAGTCCATATCATGGGGAACAAACTGATTTCTTATTGGAGTCCCTAGCTTCAATAGTTATCGAGATATGGAAGATAACGCAAACCTCCATTTCAGCCGAAAACGCGTTTATTCGCATTATAAGAACTTCGCCATTAATTGAATATCAAAGTTCTAATTTTAACTCCAAGTTACTCTAGAATAGAGCATTATCTTCTAGGAATTTAAAAATTTTCTGAGCTTCCCCACCGGAGATATGAGATGTTAAAAATGGCCGATTTGGGGCCCAGAGCAAAGTTTGGAAGCTCCTGGAAAATTTTGGAAACTAGGTACGGGATTCAAAACTAAGTGATTATATTCCCCATATAGGTAACAACAAATGGTAGAAATCACAGATCTGATACTTTCCCCCTCCCATTGGTTTTTGAAGGTCAAAAATAGCGTTTTTCCCAAAATCGATAGGTAAGTTTCAAGTTTAATTACACCTACAGAAAGTGAGCTGAGTAAAAACTTGTAATAATATGATTTGTAGTCCATATCATGAGGAACAAATAGCGTTTTTATTGGAGTCTGTAGCTTCAATAGTTATCGAGATATGGAAGATAACGCAAACCTCCATTTCAGCCGAAAACGCGTTTTTTCGCATTATAAAAACGCCTGTACCGAGAGAACTGAGCGGATTAGAATTTTTTTAAAAATTTTTTTGTAGTATGAAAATATGTATAAATAAGTGTA